CTTGAAATCAGCTGGACATATTATAGACCAGTGCCGAAGCCTTTGAAAATGGTAATAAGTGAAAAAAAATTAGAACAGGGTGATACCCATTGGAAAAGGAAGAAAATATAACAAAAATAAAGGAAAACATAATTTACGGGCGATCTGAGGTCCGAAAGCGGAAGAGGGTGAGCTTTTAAGGGTAGAAAACGGTTTATCACGATTTCCGGCAAAACTAAGTCCTGTCGCAAAAAGTTAAATGGCAAAGTTCTATGTAATGAAAAGATTTACAACTTTTGTATTTACACTTTCCTTACATAACCTCAAAATTTATGCGAAAAATGCAAATAACCGAGTTTTTGGTTTTTATTTTTGTCTCCCACAAAAAAAATTTTTTTAACTAAATTTGGTGAAAACTTACCTATTTATGTCCCAAACTCACTGTAATTTTTTTTATTCAAAATATTTATTTTTTTCCCTTATTTTGATTTAATATCGAAAAACCACTCTAATTTTCAATGGAAAATTCTCGCGTCAAAATATTTGCTTTTTTAAAAAATCGGTGTGCTTTTTGTTCGCTGAAATCTCTACTTTCTGAAGGTGTAAAAAAATTATACATTACTATGGCAAATTTTCACAGGAAATGCAAAAAAACGAAAAAACTCGAATTCAAAAATTTGTGTTTTAATTATTATGTAAAATTTGGAGCTATTTATTAAAATGTACACGTTAATTACTCGAAAAATGTAATATTCCATGTTACATTGATAAATAAAAAAATTGCAAATCGAAATATACTAGGAGTACTATAATTAACAACCAAATAAGTTAATACACTTAATACTTTATAAGACATCTACAATATTTTGTTAAAGTTGTAGGATAATTTTTAAATTATATCCATAGGTGCCTATTTTTTGCTATTTTAAGATAACTTACATACCTGAATGGCCTACGGAAAATTTTAGCCCATCAGAAGAATGAACACATCGTCTATAAAAATACACGTGCAGGCTGAGTTACTTGAAGAGAATCGTGACGAATTGACTTATTTAAAAAAAACTTTTGGAATCTACAGACATAATTAAAATCTCGATAGAAACTGCCAGAGATACTAATAAAATTGTCATAGTTGTGGGTCAAGATATTTTGGTCCTTTTGAATCAATTGAATTCAAATAATTATGACATTTATTTTCTCAAACCAAGTTCTGGAAATGTAAAAGATCTATTTTTCACGTTCAATAGTTTCAAATATGAATCTTTCAAAAATATCCTTGCATTTCTGTATTGTTTTTCTAGTTGCGATACAACGTCTGGGTTTGCCGGAAAAGGAAAGAAAAACATCGTAAATTCATTGTCTTCTAATATATAAAATTCTCGTGTCACAGTGTGTGTAACCAAACTCTTCCGAAACGGTTTGACTGATTTTTATGAAATTTTCTGTCTATATTCGGTAGGTCTGAGAATAGGTCGCAAACTATTTTTATAACCCTAGGTGATAAGGGTGGCCCACCCAAAATTTTTTTTTGTTATTTTTCGGACAAAATTTGTTATTTTTATTTTTCTAAGATTTGGCTTCAAAAAATACATATAACCCTAAATTTTCACCCTTCTACCACCAACCCCCATTTTGTAGTAACTATATTAGTACTAGTAATTTATACTTTAATTTAATTATAATTTATTTATTTATTTTGATTTAATTTTTTATTTAACTACAAAATTATTCACTAGAAATAATTTATATGGCAAAACAACATTTGTTGGGTCTGCTAGTTAGACGATAAAATTTTATCAAATTTGGCCAATATTTGTTATAACAAACATGCAAACGAAGAATATATCGCAAAAAATGTATTACAATTAATCAAATATATTTATAAATGTAAAAATGACAATATAACACTGAATCAATTAAGATGTCTGAAATCAATTGGCAAGAATTAAATCATCATTCATATTGACAAATCTCCCACCAACAGAAGGCGTTTGTTTCATGGATTTTAAATTTTTGAGTTTATCAGTGTAACATGGAATCTTACTTTTTTTGAGTAATTATAGTGTAAATTTTAATAAATAACTCAAAATTTTACATGATTAAAAAAAATTCGAGTTTTTCGTTTTTTTGGATTTCCTGTGAAAATTTGCCATAGTAATGTATACTTTTTTTTAGACCATCAGAAAGTAGAGATTTCAACGAACAAAAAGCACGCCGATTTTTTAAAAAAACAAACATTTTGACGTGAGAATTTTCGATTGAAAATTAGGGTGGTTTTTCGATATTAAATCAAAATAAGGGGGAAAAATAAATATTTTGAATCAAAAAAATTACAGTGAGTTTGGGACATAACTAGGTAAGTTTTCACCAAATTTCGTGAAAAAAAAACTTTTCTGTGAGAGATAAAAAGTAAAAAATCAAAAAATCGGTTATTTGCATTTTTCGCATAAATTTTGAGGTTATGTAAAAAAAGTCTAAATACGAAAGTTGTAGATCCTTTTATTACCTAGAACTTTGCTATTCAACTTTTTTCGATAGGACTTGTAGTTTTGCCGGAAATCGTGATAAACCGTTTTCTACCCTTAAAAGCTCACCCTCTTCCACTTCCCGACCGCAGATCGCCCGTAAATTATTTTTCCTTTTATTTTTGTTATATTTTCTTCCTTTTCCAATGGGTATGATCCTGTTCTATTTTTTTTTTGTTCTCAAAATATCGGCCCTGGCCTATTAGGCAATATGCTTAATGACTAGTGTTTCAGGTATTATGCATAATTCCTGTTCCTCTCTTAGTTATTATCAATATTACCTAAACGTTTTCGTTATTGTGCATAATAACTGAAAAATTCAGTTATTACGCATAATTCCTAATATTTCCAGTTATTATGCATAATAACTGACAAGTTTAGTTATTACGCATAATTCCTAAAATATCTAGTTATTATGCATAATAACGTATTTCGGATATTAGCTGTAACATATATACCAAAGAAATTTTCAAATACTAAATAAATAAAATAAATAAAAGTACAGATACGTAAAAGAGTTATGGATTAAAAAAAATGTAGGACGGATGTCTAATTTTGATAAAAGTGGTATATCAGACTTACATAAATAGTAAGGGTAAGATCACCCCTAAATTTCATGAAATTTTCGCTGCTACTACGAATTTTTATGTAGGTTTCTGTTTGAATATTCTTCAGTATGTTGACAAATGTCGAATAAAAACTTTCATTGAAATGACTGTGGAAAAATTTAGAACTATTTGTTGTTCTCGATGGACTTGTAGAATTTTCCACGAAATTCTTTAAAAAAAAAAATAAAAAAAAAACCATACACAAGGTGTTCTTGAGATTCTATCAAACTACTACTTCAAAAACAAAACAAGAGTTTCCGCAGATTCTTTCATAATATTTCATCCAGTGTCCCTTTCACTTTTTTAATTTCTGTGTATTTCTGTTATTTTTGATAATGATTATATTCCACGATAGAGGGAATACAGATGTGCCCAGTATGTGATCTAACTTGGAACAATTTCGACACAGTTAACTTCGCTACTAAGTAAGTGTAATTACTAGTTGTTTTTTTCGAAGAAAAATATTACATGAAATGTACCGTTTCTCCTATTGGTACGCCACTGGGTATGTTAAATTTGCTCGACCCCGCACACACATCCCGGTTAAAAAGCCGCCAGGGCGTGTCCTCCCGGGTGTCATGTGTGCATTTCTGAATATCTCACTCTCCCATCCCCACGCCTACAGGTGTTCGGAAATATTCGCGCAACAGAAAAAACCAATCATCCCCAAAATCTAAATAACAAAGGAGGGCAGGCAGCCGACTTTAATTTCGCCCTCCGCGTCGATCTTGAACGCAAGAAAAGTAATTAGAGAATTCACACGCCATTGATCAAAAGTTTAAGAGCAAAAGTTAAACAGAGCGGGACGTCGTCGTGTCTTTGACAAAAACTCATTTCTGGAACTTTCTAACTTGCCGTCGAACTCTCCAAATATTTGCGTTCGGGCGAAGGTTGTCTGAATGACATAGATATATATTCGAGGGCGATCGAGACGCACTCGCTCACCTGCTGATGAGGAATAATTAAACTCTTCGGCGTAATAATGACGAGAAACCGCAAGTTTTGCAGACGAACGAACGCCAGCAAACACGGGGGCTGGGAGAGGGTGGCCGATATCAAAACTGAGAATCTCACGGTCTGGTGGAGGCTGAAACGGAGCAATATTTACACAAGAACGACACACTGGCGCTGTTGACCAGCCAGGGCTTTAATATCCTGGCCCGAGGCGACACGTGACCGACCTTGAGGACGGGGCGAGATTGTATTGGTTCTTCGGCGAGTCATAAAGCGGGTGTTTTTGTAGAGAGATTAACACCGGCTGAGTGAGCTGCGAAAGGAGCTAAATACAACTTCATTATGGAAGGGATTGATAAAATATATATACGTATACACAATTAGTCGAGGAAGTACTACGAAGTTCAGCCAACCATGATCAAGACTGCAAAACTACTTCACTGAAGTAATTCTGATCAATACTGGAGCTTCCTGAGTTTCATTATTACTCTTTTTTGTAGAAGATTACCTAAGAGGGAACCATTTGTACATATTCCAACATAGGGAAATACATATAAACAAACATTGCGCTTTGCAGAAATCAAATATCTTAATAAATAACTGAGTAAACAGGGGCAGAATATTTAAAATTTGTGGTCAAACAAACATTAGCCATTTTTCTGGTCCACTCAAATCGATAATAGGTAGCCGATAGAACCCGTGCAGAATTCTATTGTATTCTAGCTTTCTAGTCTTTCTACCATTCGGAATTGTTTGTTGTCTGTGTGTTTGTGATTTAGCGCACGCCACTGCCCCGCTGACACGGCACCACTGACATCGCACGTGTGGCCACAATAATTAATATATGCAACGCGTCTGGGCTGTGCTATGATTCAGCCCCCGAATCCCGAATCCGCCATCGATTTCTAATCACATTGTCGTAATTCATCCTCAGGCTGTTCATAAAGAAATGCCTGGCATGTTCCGAGCGGATAGCTCCCGAGGAGCTGGTGATGAGGGCCAGCGAGAATATTTTCCATCTGCGCTGCTTCGTCTGCGTGGTGTGCGGAATTAGGCTGCAGAAAGGAGATTTGTATGTCATCAAGCAGGGACAGCTTTTCTGCAGGATCGACTACGAGAAGGAGGTGGAGATGATGCAAGGGTTCGGACACGGTAAGACGGATTTATTGGTTTAGGAACGGGATTTTATTTTTTTTTTGCAACAATAGTATCAAAAGTATTTTAAAGTAAAATTTGTTCATATTGTTGCTGTTTTACACAATTCCTAAAAATTTTCTTCCTGATGAATTTTCTAGCCGATGAAACTCAACCCTCAAGGCGTCAAAATTCCTCAAAATTTTCTCGAATTTGGTCTCAGGTACCTTGAAATTGTTTGAATATTCAAAATTTGTTAGTTTTTGTAGTAAATGAGCGTCAAGTTTGATAATTTTTCGTATTTTGGGCTTTAAGTATTTTCCAAAATTTGATAAAATTGCTCTTATTGCAACCGATTCTGAAACTTTTTTCAAAATATCAAAGTTTTGGAAATGTCTTTTTACAAATTCAGCTTTCTGGGTGTCAGAATTCCCCGAAACTTGCGTTTATTTTTAATATTCTTCGTCCAAATTTTACCAAAATTTTGGAAAATTTGTTATATTTTTTGATTCATAAGCGTCAAGTTTGATAATTTTGTATTCCTCGGGCTTTAAGTTAACAGTGTTTCGGTTTTAATTCGCTAAAATTTGCTCAAATGGCTCTTATTTAACGAGATTTCTCAAAAATTTTTCCAAATATCAAAAGTTTGGAAATCTCTTACTAATTCGCAAAATCAAATTTTATAAGCTTTCGAAATTACGTAAGTATGTTTTATTGTACTTCAAGAACGAGGGAATAATAATGAGAGAGAGGAAATAATGGATAATAAAATCCCTTTTTACTTTATTTTACATATAATTTAATGAAACGTTTAAAATAGATTGTAAACAGAATCAAGCACTAAATAAAACGGTCTATAAACAGCTAACAATATATGATTTAAATATTCTTGGAAAAAAAATTGATAAAAAAATAAAATAAGACAAAATCACCGATCAAAATAGCCTTCAAAAAAAGATAAAAAATTTTTACTTCAAGCAAAATGTTACATTTACATTACGCGATTCTAGGTGAAGATGAAACGAAAAAAATCCGTATAACAGACTCAAAATACACTGAAAGAGTTTCGGAAAACATTGAATTTGCTTAAAAATTAGCTAATAAACAGATAGACGGAAACGGAAAATCAATATTTTCAATCCGTCAAGTGGAGAATTTCCAGAAAATAAGAAATGAATTTTTAATAAAAATAATATAATTTCTAGATTTTTTTGCTTTCTCGATTTTTTGATTTTTCAGTTCTTCAGTATTTCTATTTTTCAATTTTTAAGATTTTGATGCTCCTAAATTTTCAGTTTTCCGATTTCTGGATAATTACCTAATCTATTTTTGATTTTCCCATTTCTAGACTTCTCAAAGTTTCGATTTTTCAGTTCTTCAATTCTTCGATATTTCGACTTTGCTTTTTTGGTTTTTCGATTTCTCAATTTTCCAGTTTTTTTATTTCTCAAATTTTGGATATTTTTTCAGTTTTGGGATTTTCGAGTAAATTAATTCTTCGACTTTTTCGATTTTTCTACTTCTGGATTTTTCGATTTTTTGATTTTTCGATTTTTTATTTTTTGTATTTTCAGTTTTTCGTATTAAAGTTTAGATTTTTCAATTTTTCGACTATTTTATATTTAGATTTTTCAATTTGTCCACTTTTGGATATTTTAATGTTTCAGTTTTTAAAATTCTAGATTTTTAATTTTTCAATTTTTCAATCTCTTGAGACCTCGATTTATCAGTTTTTGAATTTTTCAATGTTTCGATTTGTGGGTTTTTCGATTTTTTACTTTTCGACTTTTGGATTTTTCGATGTTTCGATTTTTGAATTATCCGGTTTTTTAATTTTCCAGTTTTTTAAATTTTCGAGTTTCGATTTGTTGATTTTTCAGTTTTTCGATTTTTAGATTGTAGAATTTCGAATTTTTAATTTTTAGATTTTTCAGTTCTTCAATATTTTTTAATTTTGCAAGTTTTGACGTTTCTGAATTTTCAGCTTTCCGGTTTCTCAATTAATCTATTTTTCGATTTTCCTATTTCTCGACTTCCCAAAGTTTCGACTTTTCAGTTCTCGAGTTCAATTTTTCAGATTTTGATGTTGCTAAATTTTTAGTTTTCTATTTTTATTTTCCCATTTTTAGACTTCTCAAAGTTTCGATTTTTCAGTTCTTCAATTCTTCGATTATTCGACTTTGCTTTTATGGTTTTTCGATTTCTCAATTTTACCAATTTTTTTATTTCTTATTTTTTGGATATTTCCTTCAGTTTTGGGATTTTCTAGTAATTTGATTCTTCGACTTTTTCGATTTTTCTACTTATGATATTTCTTCGTTTATTAAAGTTTAGATTTTTCAATTTTTCGACTATTTTATATTTCGAATTTTCAATTTCTCAAATTTTCGATATTTTAATGTTTCAGTTTTTAAAATTCTAGATTTTTCAATTTGTGGAGTTTTCAGTTCGTTTATATTTTAGTTTGTCAAATTTCCGAATATTTAAATTTTCAATTTTTCAATCTCTTCTCAGTTTTGTCGATTTTTCGACTTCTCGACTTTTCGACTCCCCGATTTCTCGATTTTTTGATTTTGCGAGATCTCAATGTCTCAGTTTTTGAATTTTTCGATGTTTCGATTTTTCGATTTGTGAGTTTTTCGATTTTTTACTTTTCGATTTTTCGATTTTTCGATGTTTCGATTTTTGAATTATCCGACTTTTCAATTTTCCAATTTTTAAAATTTTCGAGTTTTAATTTTTCGATTTGTTGATTTTTCAGTTTTTCGATTTTGAAATTGTAGGCTTTCGAATTTTTAATTTTTAGATTTTTCGCTTTTTCAGTTCTTCAATATTTTTTTGATTTTTCAAGTTTTGACGTTTCTGAATTTTCAGCTGTCCGATTTCTTAATTAATCTATTTTTCGATTTTCCCATTTCTCGAGTTCCCAAAGTTTCGATTTTTTTCAATTCTTTAGTTTTTCGATTTTTCAGGTTTTTTGATTTTTCAATTTTTTGATTTTTTAAGCTTCCGATTTTTCGCTTTTGCTTTTATAGTTTTTCGATTTCTCTCTTCCAATTTTTTAATTGCTCAATTTTTTGGATATTTCTTTCAGTTTTGGGATTTATCAATATTTCGATTTTTCGACTTTTCGCTTTTTGGCCTCCTGGGTTTTATATTTCTCGATTTTTTACTTTTTGGATTTTCCATTTTTCGTTAATCTTTAGATTTTTCAATTTTTCGACTGTTTTATACTACGATATCTCAATTTTTCAACATTTCGATGTTTTAATTTATCAGTTTCTAAAATTCTAGGTTTTTCTATATGTCAAGTTTTCAGTTTTTCAATTTTTCTGTTTTTCAATTTTCCGAATATTTAAATTTTCGATTTTTCAATTTTTTGATTTCTCGATTTATCGAATTCCGATGTTTCCATTTCTCAATCCTCTGATTTTTTGATTTCTCGATATCTCAATTTTTTAATTTTTCGATGTTTCGATTTTTTACTTTCGGATTGTTCAATTTTTCGATGTTTCGATTTTTCAGTTATCCGATTTTTCAATTATTCAATTTTTTAACTCTGGAGTGTCGATTTCTTGATTTGTCGAGTTTTCAGTTTTTCATTTTTTAAATTAAATCAATTTTTGATGTTTGGATTTCTCGATTTCCCAATTTTGTGATATTTTAAATGTTCGATGTCGTAAATTTTAGTTTTTTTGATTTCTCGATTTTTTGATTTTTCAATTCTTCAGTATTTCTATTTCTCAATTTTTCAGATTTTGATGTTGCTAAATTTTCAGTTTTCTATTTTTGAATTTCCCATTTCTTGACTTCTCAAAGTTTCGATTTTTCAGTTCTTCAATTCTTCAATTTTTCGTCTTTGTTTTTTGGTTTTTCGATTTCCAATTTTCCATTTTTTTTATTTTTCAATTTTTGGTTATTTCAATTTTGGGCTTTTTCAATTTTTCCATTCTTCAAATTTTCAATTATTCTATTCTTTTATTTTTCGATTTCTCAATTTTCCGATGTTTCAATGATACGATTTCTCAATTTTTATCCTCTTCAATTTAAGGATTTTTAAATATTTTTCAATTTTTCAAATTTTGACGTTTCTAAATTTTCAGTTTTTCGATTTCTGAACTATTTTTTTTATTTTCCCATTTCTCGACTTCCCAAAGTTTCGATTTTTTAAGTCTTCAATTTTTCGATTTATCAGGTTTTTTGATTTTTCAATTTTTTTATTTTTTAAGCTTACGATTTTTTGCTTTTTCTTTTAGTTTTTCGATTTCTCGCTTCTAATTTTTTAATTTCTCAATTTTTCGGATATTGCTTTCAATTTTGGGATTCATCAATATTTCGTTTCTGAATTTTCAGTTTTCCGATTTCTCAATTAATCTATTTTTCGATTTTCAAATTTTTCGACTTCCCAAAGTTTTAATTTCAGTTCTACAGTTCAATATTTCGATTTTCAGGTTTTTGAGTTCTCATTTTTTTCAATTTTGCTTTTTTGACTTTTCGGTTTTCCCATTTTTCGATATTTTAATTTCCCAATTTGTGGATATTTCGTTTAATTTTCTGCTTTTTCAGTTTTTCAATTCTTCATTTTCGTTCAACTTTTCGATTTTTCGAGTTGTGGATTTTTCGATTTCTCGACTTTTTCTTTTTGGAATTTCAATTTTTCGATTGCTTTTACTTCGATTTCTCAATTTTTCAACTTTTCGATACATCTTTTGACTTTCCAATTTTTAAAATTTAAAATTTTTAGATTTTTTGATTTCTCGAGTCTTCAGTTCCTATATATTTCAAGTTTTCAATTTTCGGAATTTATAAATTTTCGATTTTTCAATTATCCGATTGTTCAATTTACAATTAAAAAATGTCAAAGTCGAGTATAACATGTGAGATGTGATACTATGTTTGTAAATAAAAGCATCTAAATAATAACTAATTCCCGCAGAAATTCTAAACGCTTAGAGTCGACATTGGCCTGAGCGCGCTTCGGTCTGTGGATCAAACAAGTTCTCAGGCCACAATATGGAGAAGTTACTGGACGTAGGGCTTTTTTAAAACACCTGCTTTCTGGGATAAGTAGTAGATACACTTAGCTGCTTATATTCACGACCCCTTTAAGAAAACATGAAAGTGGCTATTCGTCTGAATTTTAATAACCAAAAATCATTTTTTTTCACAAAAAAGTTTGATTAAAAAATTTAACTTAAACCATCGTTTACAAGTGATTTAAGTTGAACTTTATGGTTTCCGAAACATTTTTTGACAGCGTTTTTTCTCCGAGATTTGAAACAAATTTTTTCACTTTTTTATGATTTTTCGCTTAGGCGAATTCATCTGTGACGAGCTGCTGCCCTCCAGCCGCGCCCACGACGGCAGAAGAGGCCCGAAAAGACCCCGAACAATTCTCACGACCCAGCAGCGGCGGGCATTCAAAGCTTCTTTTGAAGTTAGTCCAAAGCCTTGCAGGAAAGTTCGAGAGGCCCTCGCCAAAGATACCGGACTCAGCGTCCGAATAGTTCAAGTAAGGCGCCCCGAACTATTCGTTAAGAATGCTTTTTTTGCGGGACATCGCTCGGAAGTAATCGCATTGTTTCCAACAGGTTTGGTTCCAGAATCAGCGCGCCAAGATGAAAAAGATGCAGAAGAAAGCACGCCAGGATAACAAAGGCGGCAAGGACGCCGACAACGACGATAAGAAGTTGAACGTCAAAGAGGAGGAACAAAGCGAGTAGACTGTTTAATTAATTTTTAATTGAGTCAAGGGAACGGGGATTTTTTTTATTTTATGGTGGCGTTTGACAGGTCCGCGCTCGACGCCATTTTACAACGACAGTTGCAGCGACACGGAGACGACGCCGGGGGACGGCGACGCCCTGATACACGCCAGGGCCGACTCGAAGCACTTCCTGACGATCAAGGAGGAGATGGAGGAAAGTCCCTACTTCAAGAGCAATAATAATCTACCCCTGCACAGTTTTACAGGTAATCTCGAAACTACCCTTTTTCGATCACTAACGTAATTAAGTAAAAGGAATTTAAACAAGATTGCTGCAGTTGGTAACGCAGCACTTATTCATAAAAATGATAAAATTTTGTTAAATGTGACAAAAATATAAAAAAAAAATCAAATTTTGGAAAATTACTTACATTTTTTGGAGAACAGCATGTAAATAATTTGATGATGTTCCCTCAGGATTGTTCATAGTACTTAGAAGTTAGATTTTACAGACTACTATATTTGTGGTTTATGAATCCGCTTTGAGGTTTCCCCGAAGTATCTAAATTTTAGCAAAAAATCCAAATTGTATGGCCAACTTTTGTAGTAATACCACATGATCGAAATAAAAACCCTTCTATTAGACCATTTAATTTATTTTTATAACCATTATGTTGGTATTGCAGCTTTTTGACCCTTTAATTGATAATTACTTAACCGTAACCCTCAAACTGAACCGAGAAAGCGTTGGTGGATTTTCAAAGAATTTCGAAAGATTACGAAAAAAATACGAAAGAAAACGAGAGACTTCGAGATAATCCAAAAAATATGGGTGAACATGAAAAAAGTCTGAAGGACTCCGAAAAAATACGTGAAAATACGAAAAAAACCGAGATCCGGTAAAATATGAAAAAATTACGAAAGACTAGTAGAAAATCCAACTAAATTCCGAGAAGATTCTAGAGAATTTAAAAGAATCCGACCAAATTTTGATATGTTTTAACAGAATCCAGTAGAATATGAAGAAATTTAAGAGAATACGAAAACATTCGAGAGAATTCGAGAAACTGCAAAAAATAGTAGAAAATACGTAAATCTCAGAGAGAATACGAATCAATTTGAAAGAATCCAAGAAAACTAGAGAGAATTCTAGACAATCCGATGAAATCCAAAAAAATTCAAGACTTCAAAAAAAATTGAGAGACTCTAAAAGAATACAAAAAAATATGAGAGCAGATGTTCGAGATTCCACAAAATACGAAATAATACTAGAGAATTCACCCAAATTCAGAGGAGATTGTAGAGAATTAGAAAGAATCTTGGTGAATACTAAAAAATCCTACTAAATTTTGAGAAGATTCAAGAGAATTCGAATAATCTGGAAGAATTTGAAGAAAGAATACGAAACCGTCCGAAAGACTCCAAAAATATTCGAGAGAATCCGGATTAATCCGAAAAAATATGAACGAATCAGAATAAAATTCTAGTGGATTAAAGAGTGAGAAAATCCGAGAGAGTTCAGGAGAATGCGGAGGAATTTGAAAGAATCAGAAAGAATACGAAACAGTCAGAGCAAATACAAAACAGTCTAACCGAATCCAAGAAAACTCAAGAAAATTCAAGAGAATCCTCACAAATCCGAAAGAATGTGAGACAACCCGGAAAAAATTTCTAGCTGACTAGAAAAAATCCGACAGGATCCCAGAGAATACGAAAGGATCAAAAAGAATCCGAATCTAAGAGAATCCTTAAATAATTCCAGAGAATCCGACAGAATCTGAGAGAATATGAAAAAAATCCGAATGAATTCTAGAGAATCTGAAAAAAATCAAAAAAGAACCAAAGGAATACGTCAGAATCCAACAATATTTCTAAAGGATCGGGGAGAATCTGCGAGAATACGATAAAATCCGAAAAAATACGGGATTCGATAGAATACGAGAGAATCTAACCAAATTCCGAGAAAATAGTAGAAAAGTAGCAAGAATACTACCAAGTTTTGGGAAGATTCAAGAAATTCTGATGGAATCTGGGAGAATACGAAATAACCTCAGAGAATCGAAGAAAATTGGAGAGATTCGAGCGAATGCAGACAAATCCGAAAGAATATGAGACAATCCGAAAAAGATTTCGAATGATTCGAAAGAACTTGAGAGAATCCTAGAAAATCCGAGAGGATTCACGATAATTCCGAAGAAAGAAACCGAGTGAATCTAAGAGAATCCTAAAATAATTCGTGAGATTCCTACAGAATCTGAAAGAATACTAAAATAATCCAAAAGAATTCGACAGAATTCGATGATATTCCTAGAGAATCGGAGAGAATCGGAAATAATCCACGAGAATACTAGAGAATTTTAAAAAATAGATCCGGTAGAATAGGAAAAAAATAAGTTAGAATACAAAAGAATCCAAATTCCAAGAAAATAGTACAAAATCAGAAAAAACCCGATCAAGTTTTGAGAAGATTCAAGAGAATCTGAGAGAATACGAAAAAATTCAAGAGAGTCCGAATCAATCAGCAGGAATCCAAGAAAATTCGAGAGAATCCAGACAAATTGGAGGAATCCTAGAAATTCCGAGAATTCTTAAGACTCACGAGAATCCGGAGAAATCCGAAAGAATCCAGTGAATCTTAAGAATCTTAAAATAATTTTTATCGGATTCTCTGAAGAGAATCTGAAAAAATTAGAAAAGGAACCGAAAGAATACGGAAAAATGAGACGATAATCCGAGCCGATTGGAGAGAATCCAACCAAATTTGAGAAGATCGTAGAGAATTAGAAAAAATCTCACCAATTTTTGAGAAGATTTAACAGAATCCGGAAGAATCCGAAAAAATCCGACAAAATCTGAGAGAATACGAGAAAATCTAGGAGAATCCAAGAAATTTCGAGAGAATTCGAGAGAATCAGGACTAATCCGGAAGATTATGATAGAACCCGAAACAAATTCCAGTTGAATCGAAAGAATTCTAGAGAATCTAAGAGAATCCTAAAATAATTCGAGAGAATCGGACAAAATCTGAAAGAATACGAAAAAAATCCTAAAGAATAAAAGAGAATCCGAAAAAATTGGAAAAGTATCCAAAAGAATCCGACCAAATTTTGAGAAAATTTAAGAGAATCCGGAAGAATCCGAAAATTATAAAACAATTTGAGAGAAACCAAGAATATTCAAGAGAATTCGAAAGAATCAGAACAAATCCGAAAGAATATGAGACAATCCGAAAAACATTTCTAGCTGACTAGAGAGACGAGAATCCGAAAGAACCCGAAGGAATCCGAATGAATCTAAGAGAATCCTAAAATATTCCATAGATTCCGACAGAATCTGAAAGAATACGAAAATAATCCAAAAGAATACAACAGAATTCGACGATATTCCTAAAGAATCGGAAATAATCCACGAGAATACGAGAAAATTTCAAAAAAGAAGGGATCCAATAGAATACGGAAAGAATACAATGGAATACGAAAGAATTCAAATTCCAAAAAAATACAACAAAATCAGAAAAAAACCGACCAAGTTTTGAGAAGATTCAAGAGAATCTGAGAGAATACGATAAAATCTAAGAGAATCCGAATTAGTCTGCGAGAATACAAGAAAATTCGAGAGAATTCGAGAGAATCCAGGCAAATTCGTACAGAATAACTATGAGAAAACCCGAAAATGATAATCAAAGAAACTCCGAGAAGACTCATGAGAATCTTGAGAAATTCGAAAGAATCCAATGAATCTAAAAGAATCCTAAAATAATTTAAGATAATCCGATAAAAACTGAAAGAATACGAAAGAATCCGACGATGTTTCGAGCCGATTGGAGAGAATCCAACCAAATTCGAGAAGATCGTAGAGAATTAGAAAGAATCCCACCAAATTTTGAGAAGATTTAACAGAAGCCGGAAGAATCCCAAAGAATCCGACAGAATTTGAGAGAATACGAGAAAATCTGGGAGAATCTAAGAAATTTCGAGAGAATTCGAGAGAATCCGGACTAATCCGAAAGATTATGATAGAACCCGGATCAAATTCCAGTTGAATCGAAAGAATTCTACAGAATCTTAAAATAATTCGAGAGAATCGGACAAAATCTGAGATAATACGAAAAAAATCTTAAAGAATACAAGAGAATTTGGAAAAATTCGAAAAGTATCTGAAAGAATGCGACGATATTCCGATCACGGAGAATCCGGAAAAATCCGCGAGAATATGAGAGATTCCGAAAAAATCCCAGATCTCAGAAGATACTAAAAGAATTTGAAGAGAATCCAAAAAAATTCGAGACAATCCGAACAAATTTTGAGAATACGAAAAAATCCAAGAAAATTACAAAACAATCTGAGAGAATCCAAAAAAATTCGAGAGAATTCGAGAGAATCGAGACAAATTCGTACAGAATATGAGAAAACCCGAAAAAGAGAATCCTAGAAACTCCTAGAAGGGTCACGAGAGTCCGGAGAAATCCGAAAGAATTCAGTGAATCTAAAAGAATTCTAAAATAATTTGAGAGAATTCGATAGAAACTGAAAGAATACGAAAAGAATCCGAAAGAATACAAGTTGATTGGAGGGAATTCAACCAAATTCAAGAAGATCGAAGAGAATTAGAAAGAATCTCACAAATTTTTGAGAAGATTTAACAGAATTCGGAAGAATCCGAAAAAATCCGACAGAATCTGAGAGAATACGAGAAAATCTGGGAGAATCCAAGAAATTTCGAGAGAATTCGAGAGAATTTGGACTAATCCGAAAGATTATGATAAAACCCGAAACAAATTCCAGCTGAATCGAAAGAATTCTAGAGAATCTAAAGAATACAAGAGAATCTATAAAAATTCGAAAATTATCTGAAAGTATATAACGATATTCCGAGAGGATCGGGGAAAATTTCAGATCTGAGAGAATACTAAAAGAATTCGAAGAGAATCCAAAAGAATCCCAGAGAATCCTCCCAAATTTTGCGAAGATTTAAGAGAATCCGGAAGAATCCGAAAGAATCAGAGTGAATACGAAAAAATCCGAAAATTACAAAACAATCTGAGAGAATCCAAGAAAATTCGAGAGAATTTGATAGAATCGGAACGAATTCGAAAGAATATGAGACAACCCGAAAAGCATTTCTAGCTAACTAGAAAGACGAGAACCCGAAAAAACTCGAAATAATCCGAATGAATCGAAGAGAATCTTAAAATATTCCATAGAATCCGACAGAATCTAAGAGAATACAAAAAAAAATTGAAAAGAGTAGAAGAGAATCTGAAAAAAGTCGAAAAGCACCGGGAAGAGTACGTTAAAATTCTACAATTTTTAGAAACTATAGGACAAATTCTGAAAGAATCCAGGAGAATAAAAGAAAATTCAACAGAATACGAAAAGAAAACGATAGAATACGAGAGAATCTAACCAAATTTCGAGAAAATAGTAGAAAATTAGAAAGAATCTGATCAAATTTTAGTCAGATTCAAGAGAATCCGACAGAATCTGGGAGAATACGAAAAAATCCGGGAGAATCCTAATCAATTTGCGAGAATCCAAGAAAATTCCAGAAAATTCGGGAAAATCCGGACAAATTCGAAAGAACATGAGAGAACCCGAAAAAGATTTCAGCTGATTCGAGAAAACCCAACAAAATCCTAAAAAATCCGTAAGGACTCACAAGAATCCGGAGGGATCCGAAAGAATCCGAGTGAATCTAAAAGAATCCTAAAATAATTCGAGAAAATCCGACAGAAACTGAAAGAATACGAAAAGAATTGGACAGAACACGAAAGAAAATTCGCCAAGGATCCGAAAGAATACGAAAGAATCCGACGATATTCCGAGCTGATTCGAGAGAATCCAAAAAAATCCGAGATTGGATAGAATACAAAATGAATACAAGAGAATCCGAGAGAATCAAACCAAATTTGAGAAGATCGTACAGAATTAGAAAGAATCCGGCCAAATTTTGAGAAGAAGTAACAAAATGCGAAAGAATCGAAAAAAATCTGACAGAATCTGAGAGAATACCAGAAAGTCTGGGAAAATCCAAGAAAATTCGAGAGAATTCCACAGAATCCGGACAAATTCGAAAGAATATGAGAGAACCCTATAATATTTCGAAGAAATCGGAGAGAATCCGACAGAATCCGCGAGAATACGAGAAAATTTGAAAAAACACGGTATCCGATAGAATCTGAAAAGAATACGATAGAATAAGAGAGAATCTAGCCAAATTTCGAGAAAATAATACAACATTAGAAAAAATCGCACCAAGTTTTGAGAAGATTCAAGAGAATCCGACTGAATCTGAGAGAATCCAAAAAAAATGGAGAGAATTCGGGAGAAACCAGATAAATCCGAAAGAATAAAAAGATTCCAGCTGATTCAAAAGAACTGAGAATTCGAGAGAATCCTAGAAAATTCGGGAGGATTCACAATAATTTCAAAGAATCCGAATGAAAGAAACCGAGTGAATCTAAGAGAATCCTAAAATCATTCGTGAGAGTCCGACAGAATCTGAAAGAATACGACAATAAACCGAAAGGATACAAGAAAATTCTGTCAAAATTCAAAAATAAATCCGAATTTGACCATATTTTGAGACGATCGGAGAGAATCTGAATCCAACCAAATTTTAAAAAAATAGTAAAAAATCAGAAAAAATCCGATCAAATTTTGAGAAGAATTCGAATTAATCTGCGAGAACTCAAGAAAATTCGAGAGAATTCGAGAGAATCCTGACAAATTCGTACAGAAAACCCGAAAAAGATTCCAGCTGATTCGAAAGAACCTAAGAGAATACTAGAAAATCTGAAGAAATACGGAATCCGATAGAATATGAAACCACATTCCGAGAAAATAGTAGAACATTAGAAAGACCAAGTTTTGAGAAGGTTCAAGAGAATCCGACTGAATCTGAGAGAATCCAAGAAAATTCGAGAGAATTCGGGAGAATTCAGACAAATTCGAAAAAATAGAAAGATTCCACATGATTCAAAAGAACTGAGAATTCGAGAGAATCCTAGCAAATTCGGGAGGATTCACAATAATTCCGAAGAATCCGAATGAAAGAATGCGAGTGAATCTCAGAGAATCCTAAAATAATTCGTGAGATTTCGACAGAATCTGAAAGAAGACGAAATTAAAGCGAAAGGATACAAGAAAATCTGGAAAAATTCGAAAATAAATCCGAATCTGACAATATTCTGAGACAATCGGAGAGAATCCGAATCCAACCAAATTTTGAGAAAATAGTAAAAAATCAGAAAAAATCCGCTCAAATTTCGAGAAGATTTAAGAAAATCCAACAGAAACTGAGAGGATACGAAAAAGTTCTACAGAATTCGAAAGAATTCTAGAGAATCCTGACGAATTCGTATAGAAAAGCCGAAAACGATTTCAGCTGATTTGAAAGAACCCAAGAGAATCCTTGAAAATCCGAAAGAATTCGAGTGAATCTTTTAAATTATATTCAGATTCTTTTAAAATCTGAATATAATTCAAGAAAATTCGATAGAATCTGAAAGATTACGAGAAAATCCAACCAAATTCGAGAAGATCGTAAACCATTAAAAAAAATCCGACTAAATTTTGAGAAGATTTAATAGAATCCGGAAGAACCCGAAAAATCCGACAGAATCTGGGAGAATCCAAGAAAATTTAAGAAAATTAGGGAAAATCCGGACAATCCGAAAGAATATGAAAAAATCCGAAAAAAATCCAGCTGAATCGAAAGAATCTTAGAAAATCCTAGAAAATTCTGGAGGAAGAATCCGAAAGAATTCGAGGGAATCTAAGAGGATCCTAAAAGAATTCGAAGAGAATCCAAAAGAATCCGGGAGAATCCGTTCAAATTCCGAGAGGATCGTTATTATCTACATTTTTCAATTTGTAGGGGTTATCATGAATAAAATATAAAAGGGGTAGTTCTGTATTTCATTTCTATCATTTAGATAGAAATCACTTTTTTCTGAGATTAAAAAAATCCAAATTAGCTGTTACATTCAAACCACTTTTAAAATCACCATAAATCAAAAATTTGCGACTTGTTTAAAGCCCTGCTAGTTCGGCAAGTCTGAAACTTTGATAATAACTCCACAGGTATGGGGGACGTTCGCCGGGAAGACGGCTACATGGGTATTCCCTTTCCTTCCCCCCTGGATTCAGGACAACCAAACATGTTTATGACGCCACCCATCGCTCACCAGAACCCACCTCACGCGAATCCAGGACTTAATCCCATCGATCGGCTCTACTCCATGCAAAACTCGTATTTCTGCGCGGAAGAGGAACACACCATGATCGAACCCTAAATACTCATACTTAAGAAAACCGAACCAAGACTGACGGCTTTTACTGTAAACTCGGTTTATATTCGATGTGTAATCAATAAAATTATCCACGAGCTTTGGTTGTTTAATGAACCCGTTTTTTTGTTAACTGACAAGGTACAAAGAGTTTTGATTATGTGCGTTTCAATCAAAGAGTTTATCGGAAGTGGTCGACCTTTAATTAAAAGCTGCCTATTTTGCCAGCATTTATTTATTTTGTTCGGAGTGTTTATTCAGGGACAAAACAGCGACTTTATCGGGGTATTTACCAAATTCATTCATAATTGCCATGATCCAAAATCAATAAGAATATATAAACAGCAATTTAATTTTTACTGCGGTTCGGAGATATTGGGCGTGTAAATAGTGAAAGAATATGAGTACTCAGGTGCGGGTTCCCAAGTGTTGATAAAATACACCTGCAAGAAGATGGCGGCTCTCACGCTGATAGCTTATCGCGAGGTTATCAAAATATTTTTGGAAAAAATCATTACAAGTTTGTGTAGGGTTAACGATTCGAGAACTTTCGGAGGTGGATGCCGTAAGGTGTCAACACCCTCCATCTGCTACACGCCCTTTAATCCTATAAAAGCACATATTGTGTAACATTGTCAGGTAATTCCCGCTAAAGGTACAGGAGCGCTGATTACTGCCGAGCATTAAAGCTTTAATAACCTTTGACAGTAATTCCTCTCGGTGCTTTTGCTATAGGGACACCCTCTTCAATAATCGAATATTACCTAATGCTAACACGACCTCATAGTGCGCGACATTATCATTACCATTGTTTGGATAAGCTCATAGTTTTAGGAGACTAGAGTTGTAAACTCAAGGTCTTACTATTATTGCGCTCTATTTTCCATTCGTTGGTTGGAAGAGCCGGAATTGCTGCTAGGGGTGCGATTTCATGGTCTCGACTAGCCGGAAATGTGTCTTTATTGGCTGGAAACCTATTAGTTTTTTTTTAAACAACAAAAATTTGAAAGCAACAACAATGTAGAAGAACAGGTAAGTACCCTGAATTTTTTCTACTGTAGCTGATTTTTTTAATTCTTATTTTAATTTGAATTTTGACAAAAAGATTTCTAAAAATATTTGATTTGTTGCATTTCACACAGGTGCGCCACTACAGTGGTGATCATTAATACAGCATTAAAAAATTTGCAGATTTATTAGCATCGAACAGTCTCATCTTGGAAGCATAACACTGAATATAATCAAAGGCAATGGAAAAAGTTCGAATAATGTTGTAGATACTTTTTTTAATAAACATATTTTGCGTATCTTTTTTATTCACTCGTTCCCAAGAAAATTTCATTGCATCTACAATTTTAATACAATCAAATCAGTAGTTTTGTAACATTCCGCGAAATTTTTCCCTTTAAAGCTTAAATATATTTTTTAATAGGATTCATTTGACTTTAGTATCATTAATTAGCCAAGGTTGCTAGATGATGAAAAAGTAGAGCTCCCGAGAAACGGTTTAATGAAGAAAGAGACAAATAAAGAAACAAAGAAACCGAGAAATAAATGAATATAAAAATACAGAAACGGTGAAACAGGGATACAGAGAAAGAGAAAAAGAGAGAAAGGGAGAATGAGAGAAACAAAGAAAAAGTAGAGAAAAAATGTAAGAGAGAACAACAGAAAGAGAGAAAACGAGAAAAAGTTAAACAAAGAAATTGAAAAATAGAAAAAAAAGGGAAGCAAGGAAGCAGAAAAACAAAGAAATAAATAATAAATAGAGAAATAAAAAAATTGAGAAACAAACGAACCTTGAAATAGACAACCAGTGATATGGAGAAAAAGAAACAGTAAAAGAGAGAAACGAAGATTCAGAAAAATGCGGAACAGAGAAACGGAGAAATAGAGAAACAGAGAAACCCAGAAACAGAAAAACAAAGAAACAGAATCAGAAAAACAGAAAAACAAAGAAGTGTAGAAACGAAAAAACAGAGAAACAAATAAATTGAGAAACTAATTAAGACAGAAACAGGCAAGAGAAAAACACAAAAACAGAAACAAAGAAGTGGACAAACCGAAAAATGCGGAAACAGGAAAACAGAGAAAAGGGAAATCCGAAAATCTGAGACATTGCAAAAGAGAGAGAATCTGAGAGAATACGAAAAATCCGAAACCCGATAGAATATTAAAAGAATACGAAAGAACAGGAGACAATTCAAGCAAATATCGAGAAGATGTAGAGAATCAGAAGAAATCCGAGATAACCCGAAAAAAAATTAGCGGATTCGGAAGAATCCGAGAGAATCTCTGAAATTCTAAAAGGATTCGTGAGAATCCAAAAGAATGCGAAAGAATCCGAGTGAATCTAAGAAAATCCTAAAATAATTCGAGAGAATCTGAGAGAATACGAAAATAATCCGAAGGAATACGACATAATCTAAGGATATTCCGAGAGGATTGAGGAGAATCCGAAAGAATCTGCGAGATTCTTCTTCCGAGATAATCCGAAACAATCCTAGATCCGACAGAAAACGAACAGAATAGGAAAAAACACCATAGAATCCAATCAAATTGCGAGAAAATCGTAGAGGATTAGAAAGAAGTCGACAAATTTTGAGAAAATCCAAAAGAATCCGAAGAAATACGAAAGAATCTGCGAAAATTCGAGAGAATTCGAATGAATTCTAGAGAATTCCAAAAATTTCATGAAAATCTAGAAGAATCATAAAATAAATCTAGAGAATCTGAAAGAACACGAAAAGAATCCAGAAGAATGTGAAAAATATCGAAAAGGATCCAAAAGAATTCGAGAGAATTCAAAAAATTTCGAAATCCGACAGACTATGGAAAGAGTTTGAAAGAACACCAAAGAATCCAATCAAATTCCGAAAGGGTCGTAGAGAATTAGAGAGAATCCGACCAAACTTTGAGATGATTTAAGAGAATCAGGTGGAATTCGAAAGAATCTGAGGGTATACAAAAAATCCGAGAAGCTGAGAAACAGAGAATCAAAGAAACAGAGAAACAGAAACAGAAAGACAAAGAAACAGAATCAGAAAAGCAGAAAAACAAAATAGTGGAGAAGTAACTAAACAAAGGAACAAATAAATTGAGGAACAAACGAAGACAGAAACCAAGAAACGAAGGAACCAAAAAATAGGGAAACAGGAAAACAGAGAAAAGGAAAATCAGAAAATCTGAGGGACTCCGAAAGAAAATAAAAAAATAGGAGAAAATACAAAAAATCCGAAACTCGACAAAATACTAAAAGAATACGAAGAGCAAATTCCGAGAAGATATAGAGAATTAGAAGAAATCCGAGAGAATGCGAAATAATACGAATAAATTTTGAGAAGATTTAAGAGTATCCGGTAAAATACCAAAAAACGAAACAATCTGAGAGAATCCAAAAAGAAATTGAGGGAAATCGAGAGAATCCGGACAACCCCAAGAGAATATGAGAGAACCCGAAAAAAATTCCGAGAGAATCCGAAAGAATCCGAGCGATCTAATGATATTCCGAGAGGATTGAAGAGAGTCCAAAAGAATCTGCGAAATTACGAGAGAATTCTAAAAAATCCTAGATCTGACAGAAAACGAAAAGAATACGAAAGAACACCAGAGAATCCAATAAAATTCCGAGAAGATCGTAGAGAATTAGGAAGAATCCGAACAAATTTTGGGAAGATCCAAGAGAGTCCGGAGGAATACGAAATAATCTGCGACAATACGAAAAATTGCGAGAGAACACGAAATAATCTGAGAAAAACCGGTAGAATTCGAAAGAATCTGAGAATATACAAAAAATCCGAGAAAGAGATAATAATCAGAGAAACGGAGAAACAGAGAAACAGAAAAGCAGAGAAGATAGAAACAGAAAAACAGAAAAACAAACAAATGGAGAAACAAATAAACAGAAGAACAAATAAATTGAGAAACAAACAAAGACAGAAACAGGCAAGGAGAAAAACACAAAAACAGAAACAAAGAAGCGGAGAAACAAAAAAATAGGTAAACAGGAAAGCAGAAAAAGGGGAAATCCGAAAATATGAGTGATTGTGAAAGAATACAAAAAAATACGATAGAATACGAAAAATCCAAAACCCGACAAAATACTGAAACCATACGAAAGAACACGAGACAATCCAAGCAAATTCCGTGAAGATGTAGAGAATTAGAAGAAACCCGAGAGAATGCGATTAAATTCTGAGAAGACTCAAGAGAATCCGGGAAAATACGAAAAAGCAGGAGAGACTCCTTAAGAATATAAAAAAATAGGACAAAATACGAAAAATCCGAAACTCGACAGAATACGAAATATACAAAGAAACGAAGAGAAACAATCTGAGAGAATCCAAAAAAATTGGAGAGAATTCAAGAGAATCAGGACAAACACGAAATAATATGAGATGACTCGAAAAAAATTTAGCGGATTTCGAAGAATCCGAGAAAATCCTAGAAATTCCGAGAGGATTTAGGATAATCCATAAGAATTCGAGTGAATCCTAAAGAATCCTACAATAATTCGAGACAATCTGAAAGAATACAAAAATAATCCGAAAGAGTCTGCGAGATTACGAGATAATCTGAGAGAATCCTAGATCCTACAGAAAACGAAAAGAATAAGGAAAGAACACCAGAGAATCCAATCAAATTCCGAACAGATCGTAGAGAATTAGAAAGAATTCGACCAAATTTTGAGAAGATCCAAGAGAATCCGGAGGAATACGAAAGAATCTGCAAGAACACAAAAAAATCTGAGAGTATCTGAGAGAATTCGAAAGAATCCTACAGAATCCCAAAAAATTCAAAAGAATCACGAGAATCCAGAATAATCCGAAAGAATCCTGAAGTAATTCTGGAGAATTTGAAAGAACACGAAAAGAATCTGGAAGAATACAAGATAATGCGAAAAAATTCGAAAAAGATCCGAAAAAATACAATAGAATCCGAAGATATTTCGATAGGATCGAAGACAATCCGAAAGAATCCGCGAGAATACGAGAATTCCAAAAAATTCCGAAAAGATCGTAGAGAAGTAGAAAGAATCCGACCAAACTTTGAGATGAGAATCCGGTAGAATTTGAAAGAATCTGAGAGTATACAAAAAGTCCGAGACGCAGAGAAGTAGAGAAGTAAAGAAACAGAGAAACAGACAGAGCGAAATATAGAAACACAAAAACAAAGAAGTGAAGAAACAAATGAACATAGGAACAAATAAATTGAGAAACAAACGAAGACAGAAACAGGCAAAGAGAAAATCACAATAACAGAAACCAAGAAACGGAGAAACCGCTAAATAGAAAAACAAAAGCGAACGAAAGCGGAACAACGGAGAAACAGAGAAACGGTGAAACGGGTAAGCGCAGGAACAGAGAAATGAAGAAACAGAAAAACAGAGAAACAGGAGATACAGCAAAAAACGATGAAACGTTGAAACGTCGGAACAAAGAAACAGGCGAACAGAGAAAGGAAGATGGTGAAACATAAACTGTGTAACAGAGAAATACAGATAGAGAAAACCAAAAAACAGAATTTGAAAAACAGAAAAACAAAGAAGTGGAGAAAGAAATAAACAGAGGAACAAATAACTTGAGAAACAAACGCAGATAGAAAGAGGTATAGAGAAAAACACAGGAACAGAAACAACGAAATGGAGAAACAGAAAAATAAAGAAGTAGGAAAATCGAGAAATGGGAATCCGAAACCTGGGAAACGGAAAAACGAAAAAGTGCGAAAACGGGGAAACACTGAAACGGAGGATCGGAGAAACGGAGAAACGTAGAAACGATGAAACGATGAAACGATGAAAAGATGAAACAATGGAACGATGGAACGATGAAACGGGGAGAGAGGAAACGATGAAATGGGAAAATGGAAAAACAGAAACAATGAAAACAGATAAACAGGGAAAAGGAGAGAAGAAGAGAAACTAAGAAACGGGGAAACAAAAAAACCGAGGAGCCACGAACATAGATACAGAAAAGAGAAATCAAGAGAAACACTGAAACTGGAGCATAGAAACAGAGAAACGAGTAAACAGAGAAATGGGGAAACAGAGAGGCAGGGAAACAAAGAAACAAATAATCAGAGAAGCAGAAACAGAAAGAAAAAAACGGGGAAACAGAAAAACAGAACAAGAAGACGGGGAAACTGGGAAATTGGAAAACGGGGAAACTGAGAAACGGAAAAAGAAACGTAGGAACGATGAAGTGATGAAACAGAGAAATGTGGAAACAGGGAAAAAAAGCGATAAAACTAAGAAACCGGAGAACTGGAGAAACAATGAAAAGATGAAACAATGAAACGAAGAAACGATGAGACAAGGAAGAGGGGAAATGGGAAAAAAAGTAAAAAAAAAGGAAAAGGAAAAAAAGAAATAAAGAGGCAGAAACAGAGACATAGAGATAAAGAGAAACAGAGAAACAGAAAACTACTGGAACAGAGGTACAGCGAAATGGGAAAACAGAAATAGGGAAACAGAGAAAGAGACAGACGAGAAAACAACAAAACAAGAAAACGGGAAAACTGAGAAACAGAGAAGCAGTAACTGAAAAGCTGAGAAACAGAGGAAAAAAAACAGAAAAAATAGGCAAATATATGGAGGAACAACAAACAAAGAAATGGAGAAAAGAATTAAAAGAGAAACAGCAAAATAGAGATGCAGAGAGCTATAGGAATAAAGAAACAAGGAAACGGGGAAATAGAAAAAAAGATATAAAGAGAAACAAAAAACAGAGAATTAGAGAAATACATAAAAGGAGGAATAAAGAAACAGACGAACATTGAAATAAAAAAAACAGAAACATAGGTGAACAGACGAACAGATGAACATAGAAATGGAAATATCGGAAAACCGACAAATAGAGAAACAATAATAGCCTGCTTAGATAGTTTTTTATTAATCCACAACTACCTTGAATTGCATTTGCGAAAATTGTAGGAAACAATGAAAATATTTACTGCCACAGAAAATATATAGATTGTTTGAAATTTTGTTAAACCGATAATTGTTTTCGTTACTTCAAACGATCTTTCCAATTTTCGTGAAATTTATTCAACATAGTAATGCATGCTAATGTTTACATTACATATATTTAAATTTCAATGGATTTAGTTTATTTGTAGAGTTGATTCCGCTTCGGAGGCAAGGAAAGTTCCAACAGTAAAAATTCAATCTCTCCTAAAGTGATATTTCAAAATAACGCAAATGAAACACTATTTACTGAATAATTTTTTGAAGTGATACCATCATTTTCTGATCGATATAAACGTATTAACTTTAAAACATGTCTCAGAGCATTTTGGGAGAATCTATTTAACATTTCTTAAGAATATCGATAAAGTAAATATTTATATTTCGAAGTAAACGATTCAAAAAAATTTAAGAACACTACCAAAATAGGAACAACATAAATAATCATTAGAAAAAACATTTAAACGTCATCGTCTTTCTAGAAGGAATGAAAAAAATCAGTTTGACCAGAATTTCAAAAAACTTGAATTCATTGTTTACGATAAGTACGATAACCCTGATGAAAGCAGATTTTATAATATTTTTAAGTTCTAAAACTAATCATCTTCGTGTAAACCTCGCCACGACCAGGAAACAGAGCAATAAAACCTCCGCTTTAACTCGCCAGAAATTTCCCGTAACGATTCGTTAAAAACCCGACATTTCGTCCCACTTTCACCCCCATCAACCGCCCTTAAAATCCCCCCGATACCACACACCTCCCCGAAATTTGTTAATAATATTCGCGATCGTCCTCCGGTAATTTCCCGCGCCGAGCATATTCAAGACGCGACCTCATAATGGATCCGCTCGTCGAGGGAGCGCCTCCGAAGGCAGCGAGCACTTAAAACCGGAACTTGCGGAGGTTAAGACCGGAGTCGAGAAAATATGGCGCCATGTCGGGACTGCAATAAGGCTTTATTATCCTTTATAAACAGGTAAAAGTGGTGAAGCAGGGGGCGAGCGAATGAGTTCGCCGCCTCCCTAAGCTCGACTTTACGAGCGGTCGTTTAAGGCCCGATGACAAGTGACGAACTGTATGGCACAATATCGTGCGCCATTCCGGGATCCGGACTACCGCCCGGATATTGCAATGTTTATGCGTCAAGCTGTAAATCGTCTTGGCCTCGTAAATCGCTTATTGGATTCCATTTGCTCGGTCGTTATGTGTAACATGTGCGAAAACGCTGCCGAGGCCGATTCGTGACCGCACAAGAAAATCGACGGCTTCGGTTTTGCAAACCGCGGAATGGGCGCCGGGAAATCGGGAAATTTTGCGTGGACACGATCCGGGATCTTTGGGTTTTGTTTTTGCGGTCCCGCTCCGGAAATTGGTGACTGGAATCGCTTTCAAGGAAACAGAGAATTTTTCAGTTCAACGGGCGTTTTTTACAGTAACAGTGGATGAATGTGTTTCTCGAAAAATATTTTTCGAGTTCAAGGGTTGGCCATGACAAAATGTTTTTTTAGTTTCAATCAAGGTTTTTTGAGCCACAAATTGAGAAATCATAAACTAAACAAACGACATTTTCTACGACTTTAAAAAACCGGATTACAGTGCTATGGTCCAGAGATTTTTATTGCTCGACTTCGACTTATTAAATAAAACATTCCCATTTCTTTTGATTTTAGATGTTGTAATTAACATCCCCCTAGTTACAGCCCTATCTAGGGGCCATGAAACGTCGAGAAAATATGAAAGTACCAATTCACCCGACGGACTCGATTATTATACTTCCTTTGCTTACGCGCAAAAATAAGTAAAAATGGCCTCTCAGCAGTAATAAAGAACTAAAAGTGTTTTTGTTTATTCATCAGAAAAATGTCACGTAGATTCTTATTTAATCATTATTTCGTTCTTAATCTGATCAATAAAATTTAATAAAATTATTTTATCCAATGAAAAAAATATATATGGTGCCCGTTAATTTCAACCCGTCAACCCCTATTTCATAAAATTTCAGTAATGTTAATTATGCAATATAAAGAGCGGACGTCATCAAATTGTTGAATATCTACACGATATTTCTAATACATATATAAAATTTGAGAATAATCGGTCCAGTAGTTTCGGAGATTATCTATCTAACAAAAATCCGGACAGACCTGTAGACAGACAGACAGACAGACAGATAATGGAAGACCTATTTCTTCGTACTCTAGATATTATGAAAGATAGAGAAAACGTAAAAGTAGAGAATCGGTAGACGGATTTGATTACAATACTTTCTTCGCTTACGCTCGGGAAGTAAAAATTTTAAAAATCGAAAAATTGAAAAACTGAAAAATCAAAAAATCAAAAATTGAAATGTTGAAATACCCACAAATAATCTAAAACTTGAAAAATCGAGAATCTAAAAATCGAAAAGTCGTTTTTTTTTTAAATTAAATAACTGGGATGTTAAGAAATTGAAAAATTGAAATTGAAACACATGAAACTTAAAAAGCAAAAAAATTGAAAAAATCGAGAACATTTGAAAAATAGAAACGTCGAAGAACGGAAAAATCTATAAATTGGAAATCAAGAAATCGAGAATTCAGGAAATCGGAAAAACTGATATTTTAAAAATTGAAAAATTAAAATATAATTTAAAAACCAAAAAATTGCAAAATCGAAAAATCAAAAAATTGGTTAACCGAAAAATCTAACACCGAGAAGAAGAAAAATTGAAAAATCCAGAAATCGAAACACTGAAAAATTTGAAATTTAAAAATTCGAAAAAATGGAATATCGAAGATCTGAAAAACTGAAAAATCGAGAAATCAACAAATCGAGAAATCGAGAAATCGAGAAATCGAAAAATCGAAAAATCTAAGATTTGTAAAATAGAAAAAACGGAAAATCGAGAAATTGGAAGTCAAAAAATCGAAGTCGAAAATTCAAAAATCTAAAAAATAAAAAATTGAAAAATTGAGAAATCGAAAAATGGGAAAATTAAAAATTGATTCAACGAGAAATTGAGAAATTGAAACATTGCAAACTTAGAAACATCAAAAATTGAAAAATCGAAAAATGAAATCCAGAAATTGAAAAATCGAAAGATTGAAAAATCCCAACACTGAAGTATCGAAAAATTTAGTAGAGGAATAATTGAAAAGCTGAGAAATCGAGAAATTAAAAAATTGAAAATTTGAAGAATGAAAAACCTGAAAAATTCCAAAACTGAAATGCTGAAAAATCGAGAAATTAAAAATCGAAAAGTCAAAAAATGTTCTTAAATCGAATAACCGAGATGTTAAGGAATCGAAAAATTCAAATTGAAAAATATAAAATTTAAAAAATATTAAATTGAAAAATCAAAAATTGAAAAAATCGAACATTTGAAGAATAGAAACATCGAAGAACTGAAAAATCTATAAATCGGAAATCGAGAAATCAAGATATCGGAAAATCGAAAAATATGAAATTTAAAAAATTGAAAAATTAAAATATCAACAAATTAAAGAATAGAAATTTGAAAAATCGAGATATTAAAACATCAAAAAATCGAAACATTGAAAAATTAAAAAAACTAAAATTTAAAAATCGAAAAATTGAAAAACCGAAAAGTCAAACAATTTAAAAGTCAAAAAATCGAAAGATCGATCAATCGAAACATCAAAAAATGTAAAAATTAAAAGATCCAGAACTTAAAAAATCCAAAAAATCAAAACTTCCGAAAATTGAAATGTTGAAAAACTGACAAAAGCAAAACTTCAAGAATCTAAAAAATTTTTAATTCGAATTGAAAAATCGAAATCGAAAAGTATAAAATTTAAAAAATTGAAAA